GGTCCAGGGTCATATATATATATATATATATATATATATATATATAATGTTTTCTTTGAGGTACATTGTTCACGATAATAACATAAGAAATTTAGAAATAAGAATTTTGGGAAATTGAAGGAAATATAAGAAAAATTTAAAAATGTAACATTTTAGTGAAAAAATAATTTCAGGTTTATTATTTTCAGTTAGATTTTGAATCACATATTTTTTATTGTCTCAGACTTATGACCCCACCTTATACTTTAATATTATTATTAATATAATAGAAATGTCATGGTTACTTCATGGATTATAATCAATAAATCAATGCTCAGTTTTTCAGAATTCTGAATGGCTACAAAATCTACTATAAGCTGCTCCTGACAGGAACCCCTTTGCAGAACAATCTCGAAGAGCTTTTTCACCTGCTCAACTTTCTCACCCCAGAGCGCTTCAAGTAAGATTGCAGACTGCATGATTCACCTGGTGATTCATACTGTAGATCCGCTCGTAGAATAATGATCCCCCGCAGTGCGATTACGGGGCTTAGATTGGAACATGTTTTTCATATGATTTGATGGAAGTGAATTCTATCTCCCCTTATATCCAAATGAAAATGTTGTTGTGCGCAGTAACCTGGAGGGCTTTCTGGAGGAGTTTGCGGACATCTCGAAAGAGGACCAGATTAAGAAACTACACGACCTGCTGGGGCCACACATGCTCAGGAGACTGAAGGCAGATGTGTTTAAAAACATGCCGTCAAAAACTGAGCTTATAGTGCGAGTAGAGCTCAGCCCAATGCAGAAGTCAGTCTTAAATTCTCTGTTCCTAATGCTAAATTATTGAATAAACATCAATTTATTATCACTCAGTATCATATTTCATTGTTTCCCATGCAAGATAATTTCATGTTTTTTTCTCTCTCACAGGAAATACTACAAGTTCATTTTAACACGGAACTTTGAGGCATTGAATTCCAAGGGAGGAGGGAACCAGGTGTCTCTTCTTAACATCATGATGGACTTGAAGAAATGCTGCAACCATCCCTACCTGTTTCCAGTGGCTGCAATGGTGAGGAGGGGAGGGGAGGAGAACATATGGAGGCCCACAGTTTATATCACTGCAGTGGTTTGTTGTTAGCACATGTAATGGCAATACATTTTCTGTTTTATAAGATCTATTTAAAGACTTTTGTAAGAGAGTGTATTGTTTCTTATGTCTGCAGTGAATTTGATGCATAATACCGGTCTTATCTTACATTCTCATGTTCAAGGACAAAAAAAAGTTATGTGATTTTGAAGTTGTTTACTCTTAGACACATTGCCTGCTGACTATTAATAATGTTTGCTAAGGCAAGCACCACTTTTGCTGTTGCTTATACTTGAAGTTAAGGGTTTTTCAAAATTATAGATGTGAATGTTACCCCAAATGAAGTGGCTTAAAGAGATGTGCTTTCCTGCATTAATAGACTTCACTTGGTGGATAATAAAACAATCTCATACTTACACTGGAGGGACCTGAGCCATATTTTGGAACCAGAATATCATAGACACTGAGGTCTTTTGATTTGAACCCAAAACACTCAAGCAACCATATTCTACTGAGCTAAAAGACATAGACCACCTTAACAATTGCATAGCAATATCATGCAAGCGTTTTGGTGCCGAGCACCCTTCTTGTTTTCTGAGATGTTTTAACGGTTGCTGCAGATGGTGTCTTGTAACAAAACATAAAATTGGAAGTAAACTACCATTCAAAAGTTTGGGATCCTTCAAATTTTTAAAAATGAATACTTTTATTATACTGATGAAAAGTGACAGTTACAAAAGATTTCTCTTTCAAATAAATTCTGTTCATTTAGACCTTCTATTCATCAAAGAATCCTGAAATTTTTTCCACAAAAATATAAAGCATCACAGCTATTTTACACATTGATAAAAAATAAATGATTAATGAGCACCAGATAAGCATATTGGAATGATTTCTGATGGATCATGTGACACTGAAGACTGGAGTAATGACTGGTGAAAATTCATCACAGAAATTATATTTAAAAAATAAATGAAAGAGAAAACTGTAATTTTGAATTTTATTAATATTTCACAATGTGAGTGAGTTACTGTCCTGTATTTTTGATCAAATAAATGCAGCCTTGGTGAGTATCATAAAAATAATTGTAAAACCCCAAACTTTTGAACGGTTTATACTATAGTCTATAAAACAACTTGAATATTTAATTAACATTTGTCAAGTCTTTTGTATGTTTTCATTTTTATGTATGCAGGAAGCTCCAGTCTTACCCAATGGTTCTTATGATGGCAACCTCCTGGTGAAATCCTCAGGAAAACTCACCCTGCTTCAGAAGATGCTCAAAAAACTGAAAGATGAAGGGCACAGGGTTCTCATCTTCTCTCAGGTATAGTGCATGGTACTTATTTCCTCTTTTAGAGCTTAGAATACCCTGTGAATAACAAAAAAAAACTTAAATATGTGGCAGTCTTGCCTTTATTTCAGTGGAAGATTAATTAGATGGTAAACTGTGAATAGAAAATAAGAGCGGAGCTCATTCATCTTTTAAATGGAGTTGACAAATGAAAAGGCGGGGCCTATATTTATCTCCGCTTTATTTTTTAGTCCTTAGACTCTTTTCCCTCCCATTTTAAATTGCCTGTGGAATCTCTGCATCCATTAATTTGATGAATGGCACTGGTAAAGGGAGGGTGTCTCGACAAGACATTTTGCCACCCTTTTATTTCCCAAGTGCTTGAAAATAAACATACATATTAATGTTATGGCATGTTGTATGTCCTTTAAGCTTGATTAAAGAGGAGGGTTGTGTTTCTGTCCCCTCTTGTTGTTGTATTTTGCATAGATGGAATTAAGTATGAGCTGGCAAGCTGAGTTTGCTTAACATTTTGCTTAACGCTGCCATTTTTCTCTTTGTTGGATATCTCTGTTATCCTCCTGTTTGTGTCTTATCCTGCACTGTTGATCCCTCTCTCAGATGACAAAGATGCTAGATCTGCTAGAGGACTTCCTGGAGTTTGAGGGATATAAATACGAGCGTATTGATGGGAGCATCACAGGGGGGCTGCGACAGGAGGCCATCGATCGCTTTAACGGTGAGGATGCCAGCAGTGAAGCCGCAGTGATGTCTGTGTGTGGGGGGGATAGTGGATACTAAGGCATTCATACTGACTGTCTGTCACCCTGTGTGCAGCACCCGGGGCTCAGCAGTTCTGTTTTCTGCTGTCTACACGTGCTGGAGGATTGGGTATTAATCTGGCAACTGCAGATACTGTGATCATATATGACTCTGACTGGAACCCACACAATGATATTCAGGTAATGCAAACACCAGTGCTGGGAAAGCTACTTTGAACTGTGACTTATAATTTAAAGTAGTTAATGTACTCTTTTAAAAAGTATTTAGCTGGACTACAAGCTACTAACAAAAAGTAGCTACACTTCCCTAGTAAAAAAATAAATATATTTAAAATAAATTTATTTCATACAAAGTATAGTTCAAATCTATTAACATATTTACTAACATATCACTCGAGACTTACTGATATAAAAATTATAATTAAACTTTTTTGGAGTACTACTTGTGCACAATGCACATTTCTTAATATTAAGTCTAAAATGTGTTTTAATGTCACTATATTGATGAGGACTGTATGATCTTTGAATAATATCGGTCTTTAAATGCAATATATTTAAAGTGTAAAGTGTATCAAATATACTCGTCACTGAGGACTGTATGATCTTTGAATTATATCGGTCTTTAAATGCAATATATTTAAAGTGTAAAGTGTATCAAATATACTCGTCACTACTTCCGCACAATTAAAGTGCATGAAGTACAAAATTAGTTGTTAGTTGTACAAAAAAAGTTTAATATACCAAAAGTGCAATTGCAGGGTATTTTTATTAAGTACATAAATATGTAAATGTTTTTTGTAGTATACTTAGCATGAAATAAATGTATTTCAAATCCATTTTAGTAAATTTATTTTTCACTAGGATGAAGTTGGTTAAAGGGGTCATCGGATACTACATGCACTTTTACAAGTTGTTTGAACTGAAATGTGTGTTGGCAGTGTGTGTACACAACCACCCTATAATGATAAAAATCCACCCAGTGTTTTTTTAATCTACTAAAATCTTTACCCCTTTTTCAAATCGAGCCGATCTCAGATGCCTGTCTGTGTGATGTCACAAAAACAGGCCCCTCACACGATAGTTTGATTGACAGTAGCGTTTCAGCACAGACTGGACTGGCGTTTTACCTTAGACCCGCCCTGAGTGAGCTGTCATCAGTCCGCCATTGTTTCACCGCCAGAGCAGGTGTAGACAAGAATGACTCCTAAGCGATTTAGGTGTTTTGTTGTTGGCAGTCGTCATTTACTCCCGACATCTGAGCTGCTGAAGACGCAGTGGATTACATCGCCTTTCCTAATAATGTGCTAATTAGCAAGTTTCATGATGAATGCAGCTAAAGTAAACAGTCCCTCAGAGAGCAGCTCCGAAGAGAGGGGCGGGGTCAGCAGAGCTCATTAACATTTAAAGGAAAATGCTACAAAAACGGCTTGATCTGAAAAGAGCTGTTTTTGACAGGGTAAAAAAGGTGTTTTTTACACTACCATTGAGAAATTTTAACCAAACTATGTTACAGACTTTTCATTAAGACCCTAAAGAATCATATCAACTTGTGGAAAATGGGCATCCGATGACCCCTTTAAAGTGAAGTATATATGTATGTGTGTGTGATACATTGTGTTATAAATAGATATTATATTACAAACTTCGATGCTGTGTTTATCTATAGCTCTCTATTATTTAATCATTGATTTTATTTTTCTTGCTGTGTTCTTCTTTCACTTTCTTTTCATCTGTCTTTTCTCTTTGTCCTTGCAGGCCTTTAGCAGGGCACATCGTATCGGGCAAAATAAAAAGGTGATGATCTATCGCTTTGTAACTCGGGCATCCGTAGAGGAGCGTATTACCCAGGTAGCCAAGCGAAAGATGATGTTAACCCATCTGGTGGTGCGTCCCGGCTTGGGCTCTAAGACGGGCTCCATGTCCAAACAGGAACTAGACGACATCCTCAAGTTTGGCACTGAGGAGCTTTTTAAAGATGACGTGGAAGCTGCCAAAGCGATGGGTGAGCTGAAGTGGTTTAAGATAAACATTTAGACACTTTGTGGATTCCAGTAGTTCATGTCCTAAATCTCTTCAGCAGGAGATAATAAAGAAGGAGATGAGGGCAGTGTGATCCACTACGATGATAACGCCATTTCCAAACTGCTGGACCGTAGCCAGGATGCCACCGAAGACACAGAGATCCAGAACATGAACGAGTACCTGAGCTCATTCAAGGTGGCTCAGTATGTTGTGAGAGAGGAGGACGGAGAGGTGAGATACAGATGCTTTACTGTCTGTTCCTCATGCCTTTTTCTATTAAGCAAGGGATCAAAGATGAATGCTAGTCAATCCTTTCAAAATGAATACCTTAGACTACATTTTCTTTCACTCTTCTATGCTCAAGAAGGCATAGCCATGCAAGTTTCAGATTTTACAAAAGCTTCTTGGACTGTTGTTTTGGAGTTAGTATTGTGTTTAGGGGCAGCAGCACTATGGCTTTGTTCAGGCAGGCAATCAGATTGTAGTCTGAAAAGACAAAAAGCTTCCGATGCAATGTTTAACCCGTTTTATTTTTTTCTTTAAACTTTGACCTGATGCATACACTTACCATTCAAAAGTTTGGGGTCTGTACAATTTTTTCGAAAGACATTAATACTGTGTAAGGATGCATTAGATTGATCAAAATTGGCAGTAAATATATTTATAATGTTGTAGAAGATTTATATTTATATTTGAACTTTCTGTTCATAAAGTATGCTTGAAAATATATACCACATTAAGCAGCACAACTGTTTTCAACTTTGATTATAAGAAGAAATGTTTCTTGTGCAGCAAATCATCATATAAGAATAATTTCTGAAGGATCAAGTGACACTGAAGACTGGAGTAATGATGCTGAAAATTTCACTTTGCCATCACAGGAATAAATTGCATTTTAAAATATATAAAAATGTTAAGTTGTAATAATATTTCACAATTTTACTGTATTTTGTGTATTTTATCAAATAAATATAACCTATCATTTCAAAAACATTTAAAAATCGTATTGACCCAAACTTTTGAGCGGTATGTAATGTTACACAAAGTACACAACATTTGGAGCTGTGTTCGAATGTGCTCATTTTCACTCTCTTTTTCTTTTTTTGTGACATTCACTAGTGAATGCTGAGTGAGTGTCAGTGGTTTTGGACATGAATGTGTAAATTGTCGCTTGTTCTCTTATGCGCCTGAAGGGAGATGTCATTATAGACATGGGCAAAAGCAAAATTTCCAGTTTTCCATCCTCATTTCAAACTGACAGCGACTTTCGGTATGAGAAAATCTCCTGGGATTGTGCTGGTGCTAACATCCTTACTATAGCAACCCATGTAGATGCACAGCTGTCAGAACAAACTGATCAGATTTTAGCAATGGCAGAATGACAGACAGTAAGTCCAAAAGGTCAAATTTTGTGGATTTGTGTGAATTTGTATAGAGCATAGTATGCTTTGAAGTACCTTGGAGTACCATGGTATATGCATATTGTAATCATTCAGTATAATATCAATGTACTGTTAATCATCTGATACCATCACTGTACCATTGCACCACCACAGTCCTTTTTGTAAGTCTGTGTTGGAACAAAACCCTGCATTATGAAGGAAAAGCTTCATCCAACTTCATAAAGGGACTAAATAATTACAAAAAAGTAATTATATTATGTCATATACAAATCCCAGATGTTAAAGGATTATTGTTAGTATACAATAAATATAATTAGATTAATTAAAGTCAATAATAGGCCCGTGATATATGATCTGCATTTGTGTGTGTGTGTTCTTGCAGGAAGAGGTCCAGAGGGAGATTATTAAGCAGGAAGAGAATGTTGATCCAGACTACTGGGAGAAGCTCTTGAGGCACCATTACGAGCAGCAGCAGGAGAATTTAGCCCGGAACCTGGGCAAAGGGAAACGCATCCGCAAACAGGTCAACTATAATGACGCCTCTCAGGAGGACCAAGGTACCCAAACACAGATGCTGACTGTGCTATAACGCAGCATAAAACTGTGCATATGAGTTTACAAACAATTCATCTCAATCCTGTTCTCAGAGTGGCACGATGATCTTTCAGATAATCAATCTGAGTACTCCGTCGGGTCCGAGGATGAGGATGAAGATTTTGAGGAACGTCCTGAAGGTAGGCATCATCATATATGTATAAACACACATGCACTCTAATGTTTAAAACTTTGGGGTCAGTATGATTTTTATACTCTGAAAGAAATATAAACTTATATTCAGCAAGAATGCATTAAATTTATAATGTTATAAAATATATCAATTTAAAAATAAATGTTTCTTCAGCAATAAATCAGCAATATTAGAATGATTTCTGAAGGATCATGTGACACTGAAGACTGGAGTAATGACTAAAACTAACATGGACCACAGTTATTTTAAATTTATTTCACGTAATATTGTACATTTTTATGAAATAAGAGTAGCCTTGATGAGCATAAGATACTTCTTTCAAAAACATTAAAAAATCTTACTGACTTTCATCGCACTTGGTACGCACCTCCAGGAGGACGCAGACAATCTCGCAGACAGTTGAAGAGCGATCGGGACAAACCATTGCCACCGCTGCTGGCTAGAGTTAGTGGAAACATAGAGGTAAATCTTCTTACAATATTGTGAAAAGAGAGAGTTTGTGCGTAATTCCTTGCTTCAGGCGAAGCTTTGGCTATTTACCTTTGGGATTTCAGGTTTTGGGATTTAACGCCCGGCAGCGGAAAGCCTTCCTGAATGCGATTATGCGCTGGGGTATGCCCCCACAAGATGCCTTCAACTCTCACTGGCTGGTCCGTGACCTGAGAGGGAAAAGTGAGAAGGAGTTCAGGTATGTGTGTGTTTCTCTGTTATAGTTTGTATATATATATATATATATTAGGGAACCCAAGTATACCATACATACAAAGAAAACAAAACAAATAAGTTCAGAAATTAAGTTCTGTGTAATTAAATGGAATGACCCAGAGAAAAAGTATTGAACACGCTTACTGAAATGTATTTATTACTTTGTACAAAAGCCTTTGTTGTTAATGACAGCTTCAAGACGCCTCCTGTATGGAGAAACTAGTCGCATGCATTGCTCAGGTGTGATTTTGGCCCATTCTTCCACAGAGTCTTCAACTCTCGAAAGGTCTCATCTGACCAGACTATATTCTCCCAGTATTTCACAGGCTTGTTCATATGTGGTGTAGCAAACTTTAAACGAGCTTCACCATGCTTTTTCTTCAGCAACAGAGCCTTGTGTGGTGAGCGTGCATGCAGGCCATGGCGGTTGAGTGCATTAATTATTGTTTTCTTTGAAACAGTTGTACCTGCTAATTCCAGGTCTTTCTAAAGATCTCAGAAAACTCTTCTGATAAATTTTTTCACTGCTCTGTCAGAAATCTTGCGAGGAGCACCTGGTCGTGGCCGGTTTATGGTGAAATTATGTTCTTCTTTGTGTGTTTTTCAGGGCTTATGTATCTCTGTTCATGAGGCACCTGTGTGAGCCAGGGGCAGATGGAGCAGAGACATTTGCAGATGGAGTCCCGAGGGAAGGCCTATCCCGCCAACATGTTCTCACCCGGATTGGTGTCATGTCTCTGGTCCGCAAGAAGGTGTTGAACTACTTACTGCATTTTATGTGCACTGGTTTTTAACTTGATGGATATAAATATCTAATTTGAAGTTGATTTGTTTATTTATGATTAATTAAAATTATGTACTTTAACATTCTATGGCATTATGTACTTAAAGGCACAATATGTAAGATTTTTTTATTAAAATATCCAAAAACCACTAGAACAGTGTTATATATT